AACCCAGGGCTTTCCCCTGCTCACACCCTCCCCTGCTCTCCCCTTTGGAGAAACCATTTCACAAAAGCTTTCACAGCAGTCAAATGATCTCTCCCCAGTGGGAGGGGATCCCGAGAAGAGAGGGACTCATGTACCGTCTGGGCAGGGCGGTCTCTGCCCTGCCTCCCCTGCCCTCCCTTCCCCCAGCTGCAGCCTCGGCAGGCACAGCCAAAGCCCGGAGGTTTTGGGGTTTGGTCTGAGGGGACCTGTCATGATCAAGAGGGTTAGCCAGCAGCCTGGGAACTAAGGGGTTAACCTTACCTAAGTCAGGTACATTCAGCCAATAGGAATTTCAAACTGGGACAAAGGGGTGTTGGGTTTCTCCTCCTTTGTCCCAGCGGTTTTTCTCTCCAGCTACTCAGGGAGTCAGACACAATCTCCCTCCAAGAACAGACTCTTCACTAGCTGTAAGTAGGGCAAAGTTGAGATCAATCTGTTCGGTTTTATTGTTTTCTGGGTTGGGAAAGGGGATCGGGGGTCTGTGCATTTCAAAGGGGTTTGCTCTGCATCGGGGGGCCCGTCCATACAGGCGAACTAGACGGTCGCTTAGGGCACCAAGTTCAATGTGGCGCCAAATGGTGGCGCAATATCATTGAGGGGTTCAGAGGCGGGGGCGCCGATTTCATGGGTCGCCTCGGGCGCCAGTTGCTGGCAGCTAGTCTAGGGCCGCCCTGCTCTCCTCTCTAACTACGCTCCCGGCCCATGGTGGGTGTCCCTCCATGGTATATTCCTTTGTGACGTTTCCATTGTGCTTGCAACAGGAATATTGTGGTGATAATAAAGGTTCTTTCTCTTTTCCTTTAAAAAAACAAGCGCTCAGGACAAAGGAGGGAGAAACCCAACATTCCTTTGTCCCCGTTTGAAATTCCTACCTACATTCCTATTGGCTGACTCTACCTGACTTAGGTAAGGTTAACCCCTTAGTTCCCAGACTGCTGGCTAAACCTCATGATCACGACAGGGCCGCTGAACCTGTGAGATCAGGGGTGGGCAGGCCCCGGGCTCACCTTTCACATCCAGGATCATGCCCTCGAACATCTGGCTCCAGATCCGCCCGAACGAATCGATTCTCCAGGCCTGGCGGGGAACTCGGCTCTCTGCCCACAGCACCACCTTGGCGCCTTTCCCGGCCTGCCCAATCACCTGCAGGCTCATGGTGGGGGCAGCCTG